TCAATGTATTAGTGCTGTTAGCCTTGCTACTTAATGTACTTAACTACATTAGCACTTTTGAGAACTAGCCAAAAATCAGACATAAGAAGGAAATTACATTTTTTTTAAGAGTTGCAGTTTGATTCCTGTACTCAGAAGGGTAGCTTTCATTCTCAGATTTTGCCTCCATTTCTGCATATGGTTGTTGTAGTAAATAACAACAGTTCCATCTCCATTTCGTCTTCCAGCAGGAAACAACTGATGCAGTCGGAAGAGTATCATTACCTCCTTCACATACCCACATCCTGTAACAAGGAGAAAGAGTAAGCCTTTAACAGACCAAGATTAGACAGAAACTTCCTCTTAGATCTGGCCATTCCAGATTTATCTGCAGTCAAGCTTCTTTCATTTTCCTAAAATCACCCAGTATTGCCCATACACGGAAACACAACATAAGCCTAGAAGTGGCATTTGTCTCAGTATGCCTTGCATTTCTTCTGAACCTGAAAGCACAAAAAAAATCCATCTGTGTAAGTCACCATTTGTCATCTTTCAACAGTTTTCAAAGCTCTGGGCACATCTACATGGACATTCATTATTCCTAATTGTAGAGTGAAAGCAAGAAAGACTGAAATGGTTGAAAGAACTTCAGATCCCATAAAAATGAATTCCTCAAGCAATCTGTAATAAGTGATGCTACAAAAATCATATCTCAACATTTTATATGGTGATTGTATGTGGATTATGTGGATTTCAGTGAACTAAACTAATCTTAAACTGAGTCTTAAACTATTTCTAAGCACAAGTAGTCCCACTGAATTCATGGCAAACCTTAGTACTTTAAAATGGTTAATATGAAACACCTGCTCAAGAAGCTTGATGTAAAAGTGCTTCAGTGGCCAGGTCATCTACCACGTTGTGTGAAAAAGCCAACTTCCCATCCATGTCCTTTAGTCATGCGGTGCAGAGCAGGTGCTGATATACTACAGGAAGCCTGAGGCATGGAGGGGGACTGGGGCTTAAGGGGCTCTAATATTTCACAACTTCCCACCTTTCTATGCCTCCCATATGCTCTGGCACTGCCTAAAGCTGCACACGTGTTTCTGGTCATATGCCATTCACTTAGGAGTCATGTAGCTATGCAGAGCACCTTCTCTTCAGATCATGGCTACTTCTATCCCCATAGACAGTGCCATTAGCCCGTGGTTTGGAAAGCGTGTTTGATGTCATTCGACTCAGCAGGGGCTTTTCCAGATGATTTAAGGCATGGTATTAACAAGCTGTGAAAGTAGTTTCAGCTAGCCCTTTTTAGCTATGTGGGTGATAACTTCAAAGCACTGAAAATAGGAATAGGCAGAGGGAAGAAAAATCTTCCAAGATTCTAGCCGCACGGACAGGAATCCTCAATATGGGAGACCATGACTTGTAATAACATTATAATGAATAACACCTCAGTGTTATCAGGGTATCTGTTGCGAAGCAAAGGACTCAGACACAAAGTCAAGTTCGTACACAGCAGCTGCCATTACTGTGTATACTCTTAGCCTGCAGCAAAAAAGTCAAATACATTAAGTCTTACTGCAAATTATTTAAATGGATGTGTTTCTCTCACATTTGCAAAGGTTTGGATTGTATTTACAGTTACCACAGCTCAACAGACACATGTTGGTGTGAGGAACCACAATCAAAAGTGTTTGATCTCTTAATCTATACTTCAGCAAATCTTCCGCACGCACAGGAGACTAAGCAGGCCTAAGTGATGTTCCTCAGTATACTGTTAGATCATTTCCTAATTTTCTGAACCGTGTCAAGTACCTAGTGGCTCACTTTAGCAGCTGTAGACCATCAGGCCCAAGACTCAGTAGAGGCACTCATCATCTTTCTTTTACTTTTTTTTTTAAATTTATTAATCATGAATTATAGCTGTTAATTCACAATGTAGAATGCACCTTGCAAATAACTAAAGTAACCCTGATCCTGGAAGCATACTTTGCATGTACAATTACCATATGGACAGGTTTTTATACAGGCATACCATTTTAGCAATAGCAGAACATGGATAGACGTACAACACTATGAGATGTCATGTCATAGGATACAGGCGATTATTCTGTCCCTTTAGGACACTGCATACCAGACCCTAATACTGCTTAAATTCATTATTGCTAGTGCTATTATATAGTGTTTAAAGATGTCTTTACATGATTAAGTTCTCTGGCTTTTAAAGTATTGTTGCTATAGCCAACTCATTCAACACACTGTTAGATACAAGCACTTCATTCCTCTCCTGTTTAATATTAACCATAATATCATGTAATAAAATTGAAACAAAAGTGCCATAGGCCTAATTGTACTGTCACAGCCATGTAAATCAGAAATAGCTTCAGTAAAGCTACTGTTATTATGCTGGTGTAAAATTGATGTAAATTAAAAATGACTTGGATGCTGTAGCTCTGCTTTCAAATAACACAATGTAAAGGCCTCACTTAAACTCCCATATAATGGATTATGAATGAAATACTCCTTACCTCATCATATTATATGGTATTGTATCAAAAAAGAACAATATTTATAAGGGATGACATAATCTGATAGATCAAAGTAAGTTAATGTTACGGGATGGGATTGTGAGCTGTGTTGACTGCCATGACGTTAATGCAGATCTACATAGGTTTGACTGCCATCAGTATATAACTTACCCATCACTTCCCTAAAAGTGAATTGCTTAGCTGTTAGAAAATGTAAAATAAGAACCCTGATTTTATCTTTAGGTAGATTTTTTGGTTTGATTTGGTTTGATTTTTTTCTGATGTGATGTTAGGCTAATGAACAGCATCAGAAAGGAAATGTGCCAGACGTGGTGGTTACATCAAGAACTACAAAGGGATTGGTAATGAACTCTAGGAAAATAAATAAGGGCAAGTTCAGGAAACGTAAGTGAAAATGCAGCTCTGGTATAAATGGAATAATAAAATTCCTAGTCATATTTTTCCATAAATAGGGTTTGGCAATTTGTCATTCACCTTATTTAAAATTCAGAAATATTAAAGATACAGGGTTCTCTCATTATAGAAATAATAAAATTCTAGCTATTACACAGTTAGGGTAATTTAAATAGCTATAGAATGCATTATATCAATAAGTGGAACATCTGTATGAAATGTCCACCTGCTAATATACTACTCAGTGTACCTTACAATGAAACATATTTAATAATTTTAACATATCTTCTAATGAAGCCTTATTGGGATTAACATTTTGAACACAAATACTTTTAGGCATTAAAACTTCCACTTTAAATGAGACTGCATTGTCTTGTTTACCCTTGTTGATTAATAAGCAATCTGTTAACTGTTAGAACAGCACAATTGTGCCCGTGAAAGTAGATTAGTAATTCAGCTATGTTTGTGGGTTTAAGCATCATTTCTCTTGAAGGCTTTGAATTTAAAAAATCACTTGCACACTATCCATAGGCAAAGAAAAGATACATATTTTTAGATGTGCGTACCAATGTTTTGCTTCAGACTTTCAGCTTAGTATTATTGATCAAGCATATACTTCCAGCAGCAAAATACAACATTTCTAAGTATAAATTCCAATTTTTAAAGAAAAAGTGATATGAAAACCTAGAACTTGAATTCGCTTTCTATATTATGTTATCGTTTTGCTAATAAAATTCAGGAGGGCAGGTCCTGATTTTTTATTAGTTAACGCTTGTGAAGAGCTTTGAGAGACATGGTAGTTTTTTTATTTTGCTTATGATGATTAACTGGAAGCTTAAAGGCAAATACCCTGTCTTCAAAAAAGATGATAGTTCAGATTTTCTCATGGGGTCATGCACTTTCATCTGTGGCATCCCACAGAGGGAAACAGATGTTGGCAAGTTACAATTTAAATTATCTGGAAAGCTCCCACGTACAGAGCACAGTCCTGTTAAATTCAGGAGTAGCACAGGCCTATGATAGCAGTTGAATACTTGAAAAATACAATGCTATAAAAGTATAGGGTCTCAGAAGCTGGGCTGAAGCAGTCATTCTCAGATGTGTTTGTGCCTTCTGTACCCCAGCTTCATAGCTATTAAAACACATTATGAGTTAATAAAATCCTGATTTGATGTTGAACGATTATGATAGACTGTGATTGTGGATAAAACCATGCTCGAAAGCACCCCACGCTATTAACTGCTTCCGGGTGGTAGATCTCTCTTTAGTTTTGGCATGTAGGATATGTTATTTATACTGCTGTTCCATGAGATGCTCAGTGTACTTACTTGGGTTTCTGGCATAGAAACAACACATTCTGGCTCCCATCAGTATTCAGCAATATTAGGGCTTAGTGATTGTCTCCCATCATGCAGTTCACATCAGACTGCATTCTTGCTAGCATTGGAATCAGTATGATGAAATAAATGCAGTGAATTACTCATCTTTAAGAAGGATACAGTTATCACAGTATTCCTACATTTGCTTGAATATGGAACTACCCTGGAAATATTATATGATAACAAAAAACATCTGTAAAGAATTTTATACTGAATTTTCTCCTTCCTTAAGGTTTCTTCTTTGTTAGGGTACATATGACCTATAATTTCTATTGTTTTTTCTAAAAATATGTATATTCTTATTGCATGACTACATTTTTTTCCCCCATTTTTTCCTGAAGAATTTCTGAAGCTAATTACTGTCAGGGTAACTCATTTCAGATGTGTTCCAGCTGAATGAAAAAAAAAGGAACAAACCAGTCTACACCATAAAACTTTCAACATTATTGAGACAGTTAGCTATGTATGGTATTTGTTTGAAGAAGACTGAAAGTAGCTTTACTCCTGTGCTATTAAGATTAGGGCTGTGTTTATCTGAAAATAAAACTCTAAGCTTTGACATTAAGTGTGGGAATTTATGGAGAAGCTGAAAAAAACTATTGTAAGACAGAGATTGGGCACCATTAAATATCAGGTAATAGTTAATGTTTTAATTTGCAGTGTATTCCACACTGACATCTGTTGTTTGTCTGTCCTGCAGTCTCTATGCTGTGAGATCAAACAGAGACGTCGTGGGGTAGCCTCTGTGCTGCGATTATGCCAGCACCTCCTGGATGACCAGGAGACCTGCAACCTAAATGCAGATCACCAGTCCATGCAGTTGATAATTGTAAACCTTGAGAGGAGGTGGGAAGCCATTGTCATGCAAGCTGTCCAGTGGCAAACAAGGCTACAGAAGAGATCGGAAAAAGACTCGGTGAGTGATGCTCGCTTTTGAAAGATCTCATGTGGTTTCATTCTTCATGAGAGACGCTTTTTCAGTGCAAGACAAGCACATTCATCTCAGAGTGTTTTCTTCTGACTGAAGATGCCATTCCTAGTCTTTACTGCCAACAAGTGAAACTTTAGTTTTTCACAAAGCGTTGTATTCTATGGACAAAACTGATTAATAAGATAAACTCACAATATATGTGTTCTGTTTGCTGGATATTTAATCTCATCCCATCTGATCGTGTCAAGTAAGGAAAACAGTCTTCTCCTGTTGCCAAGTTGCTCAGTACCTAACAGAACTGGGCCCAGCGACATATTTCAGTGATTGTAAATATATTTCAGAAAAATTATTTTCTGTCTAAGTAAGACTGGTTTTAATTAGCATCCCAGCAGTAGTTGTGTATTAATATACAATTCTGTGTTATTTGAATGTAAGTAAAATGCATTCATTTGCTTTTATCTCAGGGAAATGATTCCTAAGAGGCAAAATAACACTCTGTTTAAACCATCCATTAAGTGGCATAAATTAGACAGGTTTTCTACAGCATAAAACTATATAAAAAAGCAGTATCTACACTTAAACAATAAACCATAAGGGGAACAAAATAATCCCTCCTGTAACACCATTGACTGTAATGGATATATTGGCTCATCATGTTTTGTGCTACTATCACAATGCTGATGTCTGTATACTGCAGCTACATTGCCAGCAACGATAACCGTATGTAGTGCATATACTGAGGAGCTTTGATGAGATGTGAGAACAGGTGACATATATTTAGCTTACATAATTTTTTAGTTTTATATCAAGCAAATAAAAGGAAAAAATAATTGACACTTAACATGCTTCCTAGCAATTATCTGACTAACAGTGAAATACTACTTTTGACTTCTTTCTGTTAAAGTTCCTTTACAAAAATAACAGAAGCTGTAATTCTCTTGTTCAGTTACGGTAGTGTAGTGTGAAGATATATAAGACATTGTTCAGAAACACTAGCAGTTCCTGAGTCAAAATACTAATAGTTTAAATGGTCCAAGAAATGTTGAGATAGTGAGGAGGATGCTGTGGACAAGTGAACCATTGAAGGTAATACTAATCTGTTGCCTGCCTGCCTTTATCAAATGTTATAAAGTAGGAGTGCTTCTCAGCCTGTTTGGTTTATTAGCTGCTTTGCTTTAGGTGTTGAGATAGAAATGGGACTTGAGGAAGGAACAGGTTTGAATACACTTTCAGGACAAGTCAAAAGGGGCATGTCTCTGTATGAGGCAACGTGGAAGGAAGACATCATTGAAAAGTAGATGGAGTGTCAACGTTGGTTTTATAAGCATGGGAGTAGTCAACTGACAATGTAAGAAGCATAGATAATTGAGGAGAGTCAATTAAGCCCTCAAAAATTTGATCTGGTTGGAAGAAGTAAAAAAATGATGAAGCTATATGTGATTGTACAAGGCTATAGAGAAAAGATTATTTTTCAGCCTTTCCTTATACATCTATGTGCAGACAGGGAAGTACCGACTGAAGAGGAATGCTATTGGGAACAACCAAGGAGATCAACTACGAGCTTTCACTGTATCACCGTCAGAAAAAAGTCAAATCCTAATGATGCTGGGATTCCCCTCATAGATCTAGTGAAAGCTGCAGATGTCACAGAGCTGATGCAGATTACCAGAGAGAGAACAGTCATGCTGACTGAGCATAAAGGAAAGAGGCAATCTGGGGAGGATAGAGCAAGAGTTCCATTTTGTCTGTGCTTAGTTTATGTTAATGGATACTAAGAAGGAGATACTTAAAAGACAGGCAGAAGAGTGGGGTTAGATGCAAAGGATTTTACTTGAGATCTCAGTCCAGCGAAGGGAACTGCAGGCATCAATGTATATTATCATATAAAAAAGGTCAAAGGGAAGCAGGTAAGGAAAAGGGCTTATTCAAGTCTAGTGAAAACCAGGAGATGAAGGAAGAACAATTAGCAAAAACTCACAGAAGAGGTAGAAAAAGAATCTAGAGAGCAGAAAAATCCAAGGCAGTAATTTATTGAGGATCTGATCAAGTGGTGTCAAAAGTAAAACAGAAGCTGATAAAATAAAGATTATGAGAAAATATTAGAGAAATTTCAGTGGAAGTAAAGGAAGAAACAGAATTATTGAGGATTCAGAATGAAGCTGAATAAAAAATGGAGGTAGGAGTTTTATACAATACATTCACATTTACATGAAGGGAAAGTCAAGAAATAAAAGAAGACAAATGCTATCTCAACAGTGGCAGAGAGACAACATTCTTGAGTTTTGATGGTAATGAGTCTGGGAGAGCAAGAAATGAGAACAGAAGTAAGAGAAGTCAGCAATGAAATAGGCTGGGTGACTGAGTTAGAAGGCCGAGGAGTAGAAAAGACTGATACAGAAAGAAAATATAGTAGTAAAGCTTTTTAATTCTCTTGAGAAACATCAGTTATATTTTTGTAATAGTTCCATCTTTGGAATATTTTTAGTTATATTACTAATACATTTCATCAATAGCTCTAGTAAATTGTTGGTTAGTGCTACACAAAATGTTTCTCAGCTGACCAGCAGTAGAAAAAAACCAGTTGAATTTTGGAGTTTCAAAAACAAGCGTGTGCAGTATTAGGCAACAACCAAACCAAAAAATAGTTCTCAGAATCCTGAATTTTAGTTGCTAGAGGCTTGAGTGTCTGTTGGGTCTATAACTGCCCAAGAGAGAATTGGACTGGATTTCTACTGTGTTTCTGTAAAAGGTGAAGTACAACAAAGATGAAGAACTGCGTTTTTCATCTACAAAACTTATCAATTTGTTGTAGTAAATATATACCTTATCTTGAACTTGGAACAGAAACAAGTTGCATTTGTGAGATAGCTTAGAGAGTGCTGAATGGAGGTCCAAGTTACTGTAGTGAAAGCATATTCTTTTGCATGTTAGCAGCTGCCGTGTGGAAGCAGTTTGCTGTTTGTACCTGCAGTTACTCTAAACAAACTGTTATGAGCTAATTAGACCTTGGCGCTGCTCTTGCAGCAGCAGTGAAGTTAAGTCTTGTGTTTCTTTTTGGGATTGCAATCAATCAGGAGTTGAGGCGTGGTGAGGGTATGAGTAAGGCAGCTTGCTTGATATCTGGACACTGGGAACTTCACAAGGTGCACGCTGCTTTGTTCCCACTTTGCCTGAGGTAGTCTGGAGTTATTTGCTGAGTTGACATTCACCAGGCAGGGGGTGTATCATTCTTTCTGCTGAGAAATGGCAGCCATTTAGAGCTATCATGATGCTCATCTAATCTTCACTGTGAGCTGTTTTGTTTTGGAACCTCTCATCCTAGGCTTGTTTATAATAATATGATTTTCTGATGTATGTTAGTATCTACAAATTTCTTATGTTGATAAAACTATCTGTATTCTCAACATTTAAAGATGCCCCAACCACTGCAGGATTCAGGTTTCTTTGTCTTCACTGGCCTGAGTTGGTATGTTCTAACCTTCCTTTTCACTCAGTTCCTGTGTAGTCATTTCTTGGGTAGGTACCAGAACTGTTTCTTCTGTTTCCTATCTCTCCGTATTTGATGGTGTGCCAGTCTTGGCACACAAACAGTATCCCTTGGTAACAAGTCTTTATTTGTGGTTGCCCACAAAATACTGTAATTTATGAAAACAAATGTGATGTTTTTATACCCTGATGGCATCTGACTCATTCATGGCATCTGACTTGCTGACAGTAAGTAAGATAGCCCAGATTATTATATTGCCTCATATGAGTACAAGAGTCACTTGCATCTTCTACTGTCTTCTTAATTTGTGTACTGGCATATTTCTTTGTTCTGTTTCTGCAGCTTTTTACATTCAGTCACTTAACTGGGCCACTTATAGCATTACAAAGGTATGCTGGAATTAACTACAAAAGGCTTTTAGTTTTATTTTGAATTATTTGCCTGCATTGATGGTTTTTAGCAGCATTTAATTTTGCTCAACTTTTGCAATAGCGGGCACAATAAGTTTACAAATAACAAGAAATATGTACTACAAGCACCTAAAGTGTGGTAAAAATGTCCTTTTCATAAACCAAAAATTATGTCTAGAATGTGAAATTATCAATAAGAATCGCTCCAGAAGGATGAAATGTGGTTAGGTTCAGTGGGTTAATCTAGCTATAAAGTATGAAGTATTCACACAATGACAAAACCAAAGATTACTTTTAAAAAACAGTAGGACACTTGCTTGTTACTGGAAGCAGTCCCAATCTGTTTTAGCAAAGGAGGTTTTTATTTCCCCCATCTGTTTTTTTTTTGTGGTAAATTCTTTTCCCCCAGATTTATCATTCCATAGTTTGCTGATATAATGTTATACGTCATCTAAATTTTAGCTTCAGAATTACACAGATGCATTATAGTTTGCCTAACAAGACCCTGCTAGCAATCATCTTAAAAGAAAAAAGATTCTATCTGGCAATTGCAACAGCAAATAGCAACAATCTTTAGTCAACTAAACCCAAAATTACCATCTAAAATTCCTGCTCAACAGCTGGAGAAGCTTTAGCTCACAATGCACTTTCCTTAGAGAATCTAGTCTACTTGAAAAACTGAACAGTTAAAAAAGAATTTGGGACAGACTCAGTCATGGTCATGCCCACCTGTTTACAACTGTTTACAACAGTTAAGTCAAAGTGGGAATATGTAAGTTATTTTATGCAATTTTTTTTGATCTTTTGCTCAGCCAGTGTTTAGCGTCAGTGGATGATTCCAGCTGCTACAGATGTTCACAGTTTGAGGATGTCCTGTCCAGGTCAGATATGTCTCTGTATAGAAAGCTACAATGAGGTGACTGTAGTCCCACTTTTCTGGGACTGTTTTACCAATACTGGAGTATAGAAAACTGTTGTACTGCTGTGGCTGGGAGAGAGATAAAACTATGGTTTCTAATGGATTTTACTTTTTGAGTTGCAATTCAATATTCCTGCCTTTTTGGTAACTGGAGAAACTGCTTTTTCTC